AAGACCAAAATGGATATCAGAAGAGACTCTGAATCTTGCCCTTGAACAACGAGTAGCTGAAGCAAATGGAAGAAACGACAAGATAAAAGACCTGAACAGAAGATTTCAAAGAGCAGCTCGAGAAGACAGAGTCAATTATTATAATGAAATGTGCAAAGACCTGGAGTTAGATAACCAAGAGGGAAGAACATGCTCAGCATTTCTCAAGCTGAAAGAATTGAAGAAAAATTTCAAGCCTTGAGTTGCAATATTGAAAGATTCTATGGGCAAAATATTGAAGGATGCAGGAAACATCAGAAGAAGATGGAAGGAATACACAGTCACTGTACCAAAAAGAATTGGTCAATGTTCATCTTTTTCAGGAATTGGCATATGATCAAGAACCAGTGGTACTGAAGAAAGAAGTTGAAGCTGCACTGAAGGAATTGGTGAAAAACAAGACTCCAGAAATTGATCGAATACCCATTGAGATGTTTCAACAAACAGATCCTGCACTGGAGGCACTTACTCATCTATGTCACGAGATTTGGAAGACAGCTACCTGGCCAAGTGACTGGAAGAGATCCACATTTATATCCATTCCAAAGAAAGGTGATCCCACAGAATATAAAAATTATCGAACAATATCATTTAATATCATTCGCAAGTAAAATCTTACTGAAGATAATTAAAAAATGGTTGCAACACTATATTGACAGAGAAATTCCAGAAATGCAAGCTGGATTCAGAAGAGGATGTGGAATGAGAGAAATCATTGGTGATGTCAGATGGATCTTGGCTGAATACCAGAAGATGTTTACTTAATGTTTTATTGACTATGCAAAAGCATTCAATTGTGTGGATCATAACAAATTATGGATAACATTGAGAAGAATGTGAATTCCAGAACACGTAATTGTGCTCATGAAGAACCTGTACGTAGACCAGGATGCTGTCATTTGAACAGAACAAGGGAATAATGCATGGTTTAAAATCAGGAAGGGAGTGCATCAGGGTTGTATCCTTTCACCATACTTACTCACTCTGTATGCTGAGCAAATAATTTGAGAAGCTGGACTATATGGAGAAGAATGTGGCATCAGGATTGGAGGAAGAATCATTAACAACCTGCGATACGCGGACGACACAATTTTGCTTGCTGAAAGTGAGGATGACTTGAAGGACTTACTGATGAAGATTAACAGTCTGTAGTATGGATTATGCCTCAACATAAAACAAAAATCTTCACAACTGAAACAATAAGTAGCATCATGATAAATGGAGAAAAGGTTGAAGTTGTCAAAGATTTCATATTACTTGGTTCCACAATCAACACCAATGGAAGCAGCAGTCAAGACACATCAGATTATGTGTTGCATTGGGTAAATCTGCTGGAAAAGACCTTTCAAGTGCTGAAGAGCAAAGGTATCTCCTTGAAGACTAATGGTGCACATAACCCAAGGCATGGTATTTTCAATCACCTCATATGCATGTGAGAGCTGGACAGTGAATAAGGAAGACAGAAGAGTTGATGCTTTTGAATTGTGGTGTTGGCGAAGAATACTGAAAGTACCATGGACTGACAGAAGAACAAGTCTGTCCTGGAAGAAGTGTAACTGGAATGCTTCTTGGAAGAGAGAATGGCTAGACTTTGACCTATTTTGGTCATGTTGTCAGAAGGGACCATTCCCTGGAGAAGGATATCATGTTTGGTAAAGTGGAGAGTCAATAAAAAAGGGGTAGGCCCTCAACAACATGGATTGACACACTGGCTGCAATGATGGGCTCTGGAATAGCAAGAACTGTGAGGTTGGTACAAGACCAGGCAGTGTTTCATTTTGTTGTACATAGGGTCACTATGAGTTGGAGCTGACTTGATGGCACCTAACAACAAGGCAAAATCCTGGTTATTTGAATATATTTTTTGTTGAAGTGTCTATTCAAGTCCTTTGCCCAGTTTTTGATTGGATTGTTTGTATTTTCACTGTTAAATTGTAGAAATATTTTACATATTAGACCCTTATTGTATATATGGTTCCCAAAATTTTTCTGCCAGCGTGTATGTTGTTTTCACTTGGTTGATAATGCCCTCTGATGATCAAAAGTATTGGATTTTTATGAGCTCCCATTTATCTATTTTATCTTTTATTCCTTGTACTTTTGTTGTCATATCTGATAGCCCATCTAAAAACTAGTTCCCACGACTTCATCCCTCTGTTTCCTTTTATGAATTTTATGGTTTGATTTTTCACATTTAGGTCCTTGATCCATTTTGAATTGGTTTTTGTGTATAATAAGGCTTGGGTCCTGATTCATTCTGCATGTGAAAATCCAATTTTCCCAGCACCATTTACTGAAGGAAGAGACTCTTCCTTCCCCATTGGATGAACTTATCACCCTTGTCAAAAATCAGTTGACCATAGATGTATGGGTTTATTTCTGGACTCACAATTCTATTCTGTTTGTTTTTCTGTCTATTATTATACCAGTACTAGGCTGTTTTATTTACTGTAGCTTTATAGTATGTTTTGAAATCAGGAAGTTTGAGTTCTCCCATCTTATTCTTCTCCAAGATTGCTTTAGCTATTCAGAGCCTCTTGCCTTTCCATAAAATTTGAGGATTGGCTTCTCCATTTCTGCAAAGAAAGCTGTTGGAATTTTGATGAGGATGACATTGGCTTTGATATTTTTAAAACTTGTTGTTGTTGTTGTTGTTATGTGCTCTTAAGTCGGCCCCAACTCATAGCGACCCCTCCTTGGGTTTCCGAGGTGGTATCACTACGGAAGTAGATTGCCCAACCTTCCTTCCGAGGAGTGGCTGGTAGGTTTGAACCACCAACCTTCTGGTTAGTAGTTAAGTGCTTTAGGCACTATGCTACCAGAGCTCCCCTCTAGATAGTGGATACTTCTTTTTTATGGGT